TATATATACTCACACACACACACTAGTCGTTTACCCGCACTAAGCGACGGGTGTGATTAGTTTCCGAACGGCGATTAAACATTTCAATGAATTGTTTACTTTCAAGCTAAAACAAAAAGTATATTTCGATTTTGGGTTAGGGATAGAACGTTGTTGCTTTCCGTTAAATTGAAAAGTATATTGTAGTTTTACGTTAAAATTAATAGCATGTTTTTATTTTGTGTACTCGAACGGTGCAGCGGACGTTGAATATAGCGGGCGACGATTAGTTCATTTGGAATAGTTTTTGGGCATGAATGATAGTAGGTTGTTGTTTTGGTTAAAAAAAATATATGCACATTGTTTTGGGTTTAAATTAAAGTTTCAACTAAAATGATTTCGATTATCGATTAAAATCCATTAAATCAGTTTCGTTATTAGTTAAATCGGCCAGTCCTTTTAAATATGTAGACCATGTGGATCAAATTATAACTACATATCATATTTTAGTCATTTTATAATTACCATATATTATAAGGTTTTTTTTTCAATTTAAAACATAATCCTATGGAATGGTTTGATTAAATCCAACAGTTAGATTCGGCCTTAATGAATAATCTCAAAATGGAGGAACGAGTTAAAATAAATCAAACTATATTTTCTATTAGATGCCATTACAACCACAAAAACTAACTTACTTGAAGCTCATTTTAATATTACCCAAAAATATGTACCTCACTAAGACCACATGTAATTTAACTTAAGTAAGTTGCTATTATAGATAATAAATAATAAATCCATTGCTATTATAGTTATTTATTTAAACTGACTTTAGCAAACCATATTTAGTAATTTTCCATTTTCTATAATCATTTCCAACCATATACCTTTAGCATAATCACAGTCAAACCGGAAATAAATTAAAAACGAACCAAATGCTTTTAAAAAAAAGACCTTTAATAAACACACATAAATATCATTACATCATAATCTTAATAGGAAAATGAATTGGTTTACATCAAGAAAAATCATTAAAAGAGTATATTGATATGGAAATGAACTATGGAAGACTTCAATAATAGAAACATACCTTAAAATAGCTCCCAATGGCAACATACATAGGCAAATTCATTAAAAAGTTGTTCCAACATATTATGGAAATGAACTTTGATTGTCACAAGAAATAACAATTGACTTTGAATAAACACTATTAGGAGCTCCCATTCCACATGACAATTAAATACCATCTACATAGTAGGAAATCCAAAATATTGTACTTTGGTCAGCCAACCATCAATAGTTGTAAGCTATAATTTCCTCTAGAATCGAGCAACCAAAGAGAATCTACAAAAATACGGTGCTATTTCTTGCATCTCATAGTAAAATTGTTTTAAGATTATGTCCATACCATGCGAAGAAATAATCAACTTTCAAAAATATTATCAAAAAATTGGAAGTAAAAAAAATTGCATGGAGTTATATAAAAAGTTAATAGTATAGATCTAAAATAAAATAGTGGTTCATACTTCATCTTAAAATTTCATAATTCTATCCGGATCAAAGCTCAACATACAGATACCGGAAGCATTTTCTTCCTTGTTTCTTCATAGTGCAAGACTAATAATCGATCAAAGAGAACCTATAAGTCATGATGAACAATCAAAAGGAATTAGAAATAGATAGAGTGATAGAGAGAGAAGCATAAGTATACCTTTGTTGAAAATTTTATAATTCGTTTGTTGCTCTAGATCAGTTTTAGTTAACTATGCAAAATTCCTTTAAATGGATTATCAAAAAATACATGAACTAATCTGCGAAAAGAAACCTACTCATAAGGCGCCTTGTTTTCTATTTGGTCAAAAACTGACGGATGAAAACAAATAAAATAGAAAACCTACATAGATCTAGTTTTAGAAAGAAAAAAAAAGAAAATACCTTCTTCTCTGTTTTTCTGTTGTGGTTAGGGAATTATGTTCTTCTCTATTCCATATGATACACCTTACTCTCATGAGTACACATAGGTAATTCCCAAATCCTTGACTTGCTTTTACAACTTTGTATTGAAAGTGCTTGTAACATATCATACGATTAATAGTACTCGAGTGCAATATGCGTATACTAACAAAAACCGTCAATAGAGATATAACATGGTAAGAGGCCAATTAATCAGCCTGGATCTTGAAACATGCAATCAATCAGCCTAGATCTTGAAACCTGCAATGAATCAAAATAAGAAGATAAGAAATATGTGAAACGTCCCAAAAATTAAGACTAAAAGTTTTGATTTTTAAATTAATAAAACCATTATCCAAAGCAATACTATAAAAACCATAGTAAATCAGAGTGTATCAATAAACATCCAAGTACATCAGAGTCATGTAATATGCGGAACAATGTGGTGTGTGCACAGCAGTCATCTTGAGCTCTTCCCTTTTGAACCAAAGATACCTGAAACATAAACTCAAAACCGTAAGCACAAAGATTAGTGAGTTCCCCACAATACCACATACCATACATATCAATCATATAATGGGCCCCGCCCGGCATCGAGCCCCGCTCGGAACAGATCTGTCAGTAGTCATCAGGCCCCGCCCGGTATACATATCAATATCATGCATGCAAGAGTCACGCATACAACTAGCATCCTAATCATAATAAACCATGGGCCCACATTGGTGTCTTCGACTTGCTAAACATAGTGAGGAAACTCACCTTTAGCGGTTGAATCTCTCAAATAAGATCTCGGTCTGCTGATCCAAAAAATTCCCCACGTGCTGGCACCATCAAATAATATCCAATTAATAATTGGATCTCGA